GCCACGGCTTTCCCCGGAGCCGTCGCAGCCCTTCACACGACCTTTTTGTTAACACCCGTTACTCATCCGTTCCCGGCCGGGACGCCGCCGGTGCTGCCGAACCGCAGCTCTGCTCTGCGTCTCCCTCAGGAGCATCTTTGGGCTCAGTGGTTGTCCCATAGCTCGGTGGTTCTCCACCGGCGCGGTGGCTATCCCAGAGCTCGGTGGTTATCCACCAGGATGGTGGCCATCCAAGAGCTTGGTGGTTATCCAGGAGCACGGGCACATGGGAGAGGTGCATACGCCCACAACCCGGAGACAGCCTGGCTCAGCAGGGCCGGCACAGTTAAAGCAGTGCAAACAAACACCTGCCAGGCAATGGAGTTGTCCTAGAGTGACACAAGGGTGTATTTTGGCTTCTGAAGTTGTCACTGGTAGTCACGTGCAAAAAGAGGAGAACTCCCCTCAAGCTCAGAGTGCAAGGTGATGGGTCAAGACCTCAGTCGAAACCACAGCACATCTCCCGAGCTCACCCAGAACATCCTTCTGTCTGTAAAACTGGTCCTGAGCATTCAGGACATAGAAATCACAGGGACCTAATAAACATGAAGTCCTGGGATGCTGTTTCTGTGTGACTCTTTTTCAGAGGGGCCACACTCTTTAAAATGTAGATCAACACCCTCCTCTCCCTCCAAAAGAAAATGCTGTGATGCTGTCAGGCACTCGGAAGGTATAAATCGGCGCGTTTCAGTGGGACTGAGGTGATTCACAGTACCCGGTCAGGATGTGGCAAAAATGTCTACCACCTCATCACTGCTACGTAACAAATACAACGATCCCTACCAAGCCGCCTAAAAGAAAGATTTTTATATTCTGATCAGAAAATCATTTGCTTTAGCCATATTAAAAGCTTTCAGCTTTGAATTCAAATCAGACCACAGGTCCCACTGTACCTATGAGCCGAAAGGAGAAATGCCTATGCGGCTTGCGCCGGGCTGGATCCCGCGCACCTCTGCGTCTGCTTTCCGCCCCTGGAGCGCAGCGAGAGGCCAAGAGCTTGCGCGGCGCGTCCAAATCCCGGTATGATACAGCATGTTCCTGGAAGCTTCGGAAAGGAGCAGCAGGATGTGAGTCAGTACGCGAGGCGGGACGGCGGCGGAGGGA